AAAATCCCATAATCTCTGAAGCAATGGTTGAAAAGCCTGATGCAATGAATAAAGATTTTGGAATAATAGGACAGAGCATGCCAGAGAAGAAAAGATGCAAGGTATCCCCCACCAAGATTCAAGGGAGAAAACTATAATTTGCAATGAATACAAGCCAGTGTGACTGACATTTATTGAGTCCCTTCTGCCTGCAAGTCACAGTCCCACATCTTCACCTGCCTCTGACCTGCATAACCTTGATATTGACTAAGCATCATCAACACTGCATGACAGAAGAAGAAACTCAGGCTTTGAGAGTGGAAGGGAACTGTCATTCTTGAGGAGAAAAGATAAATTATGCTGGTGGATCCCATGTAACCACCAGGATTGGTCTTCATGTGGACTCTCACCTCTGCTCCAGAAGGCTACATATTCCTATGATGCTCATTTTCCCATGACTAATAATAATTTGGTCCTTCTGTTTTCTCCCCAAAGCTTGGGACCTCCTCTCTCTCCCACTCCCTCTCACAGATGATACCCTTGCCTCCTGCTGCAGCAGACCTGCTGTCCTGTCTGATCCAATGCCCATTAACCAGTTTCACTTGTATGACCAGAAAGCAAGTATCCTAGCCCAAGACCCACCCTGTACTCAGCCTCCAAATGTCACCCCTCCCTCTTTCTGCAAGATCTTTCTTCCTTTGCTCATCTCCTCTTTCTGAGCCACATTGTATTTTCACTGTATTCTGTGGGGGACCATTTTATTGATTATGCCAAAGCAGGTTGCAAGCAGTGCAGGCTGTGAAGAGTTAACTCCACAATTGGCTTGTTTTGAGAAGAGAGTCGGTCTGAAGCCTATGTGTTGAGGTCAAAGTGACTTGCACCCAAATTTCAATCCCATGACTAAAACTTTCTTAAGTAGAAGGACAAGGTTCTAATTATAACCCTATATTTTATCTATTCTGCTCCTAATTTGAAAATCCTTTGTCTTTTCCTTTACAAGCCTTGCTTGCATTAGTATTCATAGAAACTGCACGACTGCACATCCTCCCACGTTGTTCTCCTTTACCCCAATTTAATTACCAGTAAAAATCAGTGGCTTGAACTGACGATCAGGGCCTTTGCTGGTTGAGCAGCACTAGTTGTCCTGGTTCCCCATTTCTCTGTCTCTTTCGTCCTGTCTTTTAGTTTTTCTCTCAGCCTTGCACTGTGTAGCACTGAGTAGGAGATCAAAAACTACTGCAGAGGTCTCTGATAGTGCTCTATTTTTCCCATCAGCACTCAATATCCTGCAGGACAGGGGTTCCCAACATTCTTGGCAACAGGGAAATTTTTCCAGGGATGAGGTAGGGGAAATGGTTTCAGATTAGATTCTCTTAAGGAGCACTCAACCCAGATGTCTCACATGTACAGTTCACAGTACAGTTCACAGTAGGATGTGAGCTTTTATGAGAATCTGATGCCTTGCTGAACTGAGAGGAGGTAGAGCTCCTGCAGCAATGGAGCAATGGGAAGCACTGTTAAACCAGACGATGCTTCACCAGCTCATCTGACACTCATCTCCTGCCATGTACCCATTTTACAACAGGCCACAAACTTCTGGAGTTTGGAGACCCCTGCTCTAGAACTCCTTAATCTTAAAAAGAAATACTACTTTACAATTGTACTTTATTCCTTATCTTCCAACCAATTCCTTGGCTTTCAGTCAGAGCAAAACATTCTGAAAGACTGGAGTGAGTTTCCTGTATTCACTTCTTCCTCTTCATTTCCCTACCACTCACTCCACAGGGTTTATTGTACTCACAAATCCACTGAGTGCACCCCTGTGAAGCTCCACAGCCCCCGGGCATGTGTCTTTTATCTGAACATTCCACCAGCTGGGGCCTTGCGCTAGACAGTTCCAATGCCCAAACCCCTGCTTTGAGTGACTCTAACACTCTCAGCTGAAGATATACTGATGGGGCTGGGCAAGGATATAGGAACTAGAACCAACTGGGTAACAGGAAGCAGGAAACTCAGGTTCCATGTGACTCATATGACTTCAAGAATATACCAAGATGGCATGCATTTTAACAGTGTATGGAGAGTGTCCTTGGCTCTTTCAGAAACCAGAGCCTTTATGGTTTTCTCACCCTCAATCCTTTGTGGGACACACAGGAAGACCCCTCACCGATCAAATGTCAAGGAATTGGGTGTCCTGGCCTCTCTCCTCCAAGTAATGAAGATGAAAAGAGGGGAAATACTGATGTGAGAAGGATCAGTGGTCAACAAGTAGAGGCAGAGAAGAAAAGAAAGGGACAGGAACCAGGAAGAGAGAGGAAAAGGAGACAGAGAAGTTCAGACGACTGGACAAGACCAAGCATTCCCCACACAGCCGCCACTGTGAAGAGTAATCCCACAGTCACCGCTTTGGGCAAGCTGTTTTACAGTATTCTAGTCCAGGAATGTTTCAGTCTTTATGAAATTTTCAGTATCATACAGAGTTCAAGGGTATTGTGGAGAAATATAAGAAGACAGATTCAGAGACAGAGGTAAAGATAATCAACCTAAAACTCATTCCCAATGTCTTGTCCCAATGAGGTTGTTTTTAATAAGTAGTTGAGAATTACACTTGAAAATGCTTGAAAGCCAGAATATGTGTGGCTTAGTTTATGAGAATTTTGGAGGTGGGTAATACTAGGTTAAGTTCTATGGGAATAATTAAATGAAGGACTCATGCTTACACTTCATCATCTTCAGTTTCTTCTTGAAATCTTGTGGCTGTAAGGCAGTTGCCATAGCTTCTGACACCCCACAACAGCATCCCAAGGCAGGTGAACAAGACGACACAGGGAAGGACTCACAATTTTTAATCAGAAGTGAGATATGTCCAGATTTATATTTCATAACATTTTCTTAGTGGCCATTCATAACAGATGCATTTTAGAAGGTTCTCAAGGGGTGAAGGGCAATGAGAGTGAATATGTCCAAGAGTCATGAAGAAGGCAAAGTCCTATGGGAGAATGAAAGTGAAGAGAATGGCAGAGGATGTTACTAGGCATGGAGGAGAAGGGCCCAAAAGCCAGGAGAAAGCAGGAGACCAGTGATTTCACAGAGTACTGTTGAAAGAATTTTGAAATGTCTTGATATCAGACTGTTCTTCCTGGGCATGTGAGATGCCCCTGCCTGTCTCCCATAATATCCTCCCTTTACTAAAGCATATACAAGCTTTGTGCTTGTAGCTACAGGCTATGATTAATACATCCTAATGGGCAAAAATGCACCAAGCAAGGATGTGTGACAGGCATTTAGAAAATAAGGAAGTCTCAAAGTGGACTACTACTCTTGCATGGCCTGATTGCCTAATCCAGACAACGCCTAAAGTAAGTGGTACAAGGGCTGAGCTAGGTGGGGAGAATCCCTGCCAGTCCCGCACAAACCCTAGACCAGTTTGCAGCTGAACTTTCTACAATGCCCTCTGAGGACAGTGAAGTCTCTTAGTTTTGCCTAAAATGGTGAAGGCTGGGCTGGAATCCACGTTTGCTGGTCACAGTTACTGGATAAGCCATATGAGTAGAGATTATTTTCTATAAAGGGCTAGGTAATGGACACCTCCCACTTGGCAGGATAGGGTTTGCAGTACACTTCTCGGCTCTGCTCTGCAGCACATGCACAGCCACAACAATGTACACATGATCAGTGTGGCCAGTGCCAACAGAACTTGACTTAAGGACGTTGCTGTTGGGTTTCATATCATTTTGCTAGTTACAAAATACTTTTTTTTATTTCCTGAGGCAGTAAAAACGTAAATCATTTTTTGCCTGTTTTGTACACTCCATACAAAAATAGATGGTCAGATGGGTTTGGTCCTTGATTTTAACTGTTATTTTTCAGTCACTTCACCAGTGAAATAAGAGAAATAATATTTACAGAGACTCTCTCTCTCTCTCTCTCTCGTATGAGCATATAACTGTTGCAAAGCAGTTAGCATGAATATCTGTGCATAAATATCGTCTCTATCGTAGTAATTAGAAAAAACTCTTTATTATTTTACATTCTTCCTGCATGGTTCTCTCCATGCTTCATGTTTCAACCACATTTCAGCCAACAAACCACAAATTCCTGTCTCCAGTTGAGACCAGATACATCATTTTGGTTTGACTTCAGGCCCACCCCGAGCATTTTCCTTCATCACTATCTCCCATAATTCTATGTTGTAGCAGAAATTGTGCCACCCAATACCCAACCCCTTAAAATGTGGCACACAGAGTTCCTACCAAGAGGAAACTAAATTGAAGTGAGGGTGTTGGGGTGGGCCCTAACCCAGTGTCACTGGTGTACTCGATGGAAGGGGGAATTATCATGCAGCCTGCTCAGAACAAAGACCATGTGTCCATTGTCCAGGGAAAGAATCCTCAGGAGAACCAATCCTGCTTACCCTTGATCTCAGAAGTCCAACTCCCAGAACTATGACAAAATCAATTCTATTATTTAAGCCACTCCATCTGTGGTGCATGTTATGGCAGTGCTAGCAAACTGATCTCTGCTTCTCCTCATAGGCTCCCATGTCAACCGTGACCCCAGACCTACACAGCTACTGTGATGCAAATTTTGAAAGACATTGCCACAAAATGCTTTACTTTTTCTCCCACTGAGCGGTAGAGTCTGTGCCCTCTTGTTGGGGGTGGGACAGAATTGAGTTATACGACACCCAGGTAGTGTTTGTAGAGGACTGGAAAATTGCTTGGTGTGGAAAAACCCGCTACACTCAGTGTCAGAAGTATTAAGAAGAGAAGTGAGTTTTTGTTTAAGCGTTGTCTGACTTTTACTGATTGCCCCTAATTATTTTCCCTCAGTAATTATTTCTTCTATTTTCCTAACTTTCTGAAGAAGTCAGAGCTGGTTACCTCTTTCCTGGACCCTGATATTTTCAGGATGGACCCCGAATCCCACAGAAGGTTGGAACCCAGAGAACATCCACCCATGCACATTTCTAAGAATCTGGTCAAGATATGTCTGTAAAGAACATGAAGTTGTAAGGAAACTCCAGTTTCTGTCACTCAATTGGTTCTGGCTTCGTTGTCCCTCCCTCTTGTTCAATAAAGTCTCGGCAGAAGCCCGGAGAAGTATCTGAGTCATTCTACAGGAAGCCAGGAGCCTGCCACAGGAAAAGGACTGCTGTTGCTGGTAAGTTGCAGTCTCAAAATTTTAAAATTATTCTTAAATACTTATTATATAATGGACACTTCCTCCACTCTTACATGGAACTGTCCAATATCCAATTAACCAGTCTGAAATGGCTACTAAAGTGTTGACCCAGAAAGTACTGAGTGCAAAAACGTACTTTGTATATTCAAAGACCAAGTACGAAAAACAGGATGTAAGTGACCTCATTAATAATTTTACTTACTTTTATTTATTTATATAAATATATAAATACAAACAAATATATAAATAAATATATAAATAAATAATTTACATATAAAGTTATATATGTATTCTTATTTATTTATTTATTTTTGGAGACAGTAACTCACTCAGTTGCCAGAATGTCTTTGAACTCCCCGTCTTCCCACCTCAGCCTCCTTGTAGCTGAGATTACAGACATGTGCCACCACATCGAGCTTAATAAATTGTTTTGGTAACAGGTTCAAAGATATATTTTTGATATATTGGGTTAAATAAAATAAATCACTGAAAGTCCTTTTCTCAGACTTTCAAACTTCTCTTTCAACATGGCTACTAGAAAATTACAAGTCACCTGTGTGCCTTGTATTTGGGGCTCACATTACATTTCTATTGGACAGTGTGGCTCTAGGGACAGAGCACTGAAGAAACTTCATAGTCTTATAGAGCTTATGAACTAGTTAGAAGGTGCTGGAGGGTGGAAAATGAATAAATTACATTAAACAAAAACGATACTTGATGAGACAGGCAGTGTCTGGGAAGTGGCTCTGTATCCTCAGTCAGACCAGACATCTGAGGATGTAACAGTGAAGACAAGGTAGGAATATTCAGAAAGCACTGGAAGCGATAAGTCCAAGGGGTAGAACACAGTGAGCAGAAGGAAACAGAGAGAACAGAGTCCCTGAGATGGCAATGAGTTGTATGTATGAGGATGTGAAAGAGCTCGGTGTGAACTGGACACAGTGTCAAAGACCTGAGTGGAGGAAAGCAGTGTGAGGACAGACGGCAGCTAGAGGTGCTGGACAGCATGAGCAGAATACTGTTATAGTCTCTCTCTCTCTCTCTCTCCCTCGACTGAAGTCAGGGTCACTCTACAACAGCTATGCCCTACACTTGAATTTTAAGCTTTATCTATCTTGCTTGCTAATTTGCTCAGTCTGCCCTCAAGATTCCCACGCTCATCTCTCCATCTCCTGAGCAGCTAATAGTACAGATGCTTGGCACCATGCCAGGCTTTAATGGCATGATTATATTTATTTTTTCAAAACATTATTTGGTTTCTTTATAGAGGACGCGTTTTAGTGAAGGTGGCACCTTGTTTGTGAGAATCAACTTATTTGTGAGGTTAGTGAAAATACGGAGGGCAATGGACAGGGTAGTAGATTGGAGAGAATGCTGGCTGCATGCTCAGTGTGTTCAGGATCTACAGGTATAAACCTGGGTTGCAGGGTAAAAGAAAACACATCAAAGGGAGTTTCTGCCTTTGGACCTTTCACAACTAAGTATTCAAATTCAGAATTGAGAGAATATTGGGAGAGTGCCTTGTACGGCTGAATGGGACTTATAAAAGTTTGGTTTGGGCAATGTTAATTCTGTGGTGTGGCTTGGATTCCCAGGGGCAATGTCAAGATGTCATTTGATTATACCAGGAGAGAGCTCAGAGGAAAAGTCCAAGTTGATCATTTGGATTAGAAGTCTTCAGTCTGATGTTTGAACACATGAGATTGGATTGTGTCACTATGCAGACAATGGAGGAGGAGGAGTTGTGCGGACAGGCAAAATCCCAGCATTCAGACTCAAGATTAGAGGAGAAAAAGTGGTAAATTGGACTGAAAAGAGGTTCACCAATTGAGCTATACAGAAAAAAAAAGACTGGGTCGTGTGTGCATTTTATCATCTCAAAACAAAGAAAAACAAGTCTCAGGAAGGAAGAACTCTGATGGACCCTGTGTCACTGGGCATCAGGATAAGAACGGAGAAGGGACGCTGGACTCGGCGATATGGAGTCACGGAGCCTCCTCCAGGGGCCACATCTGGAGTGTGGAGGACCCAGGTCACCTGGAGTGAGACCAGGAGAAGGCGTCAGGTGAAGAAGTGGGGAGGACAGTTGAGTTTCCCTCTTCTAAAGTCGGACTGAGATTCTTTTCATGGAAAGACGCTTCCCCATAGAAACGGGTGGAGTTAGACAGGAACAGGGGTGAAGGATCGTATCATTTTAAAGGGAGTAGTGTTATAATTTTATGAGACAGATGCTCTAGTAGAAATTAAATCTGGGGATTTTTTGGCAGAAAGTAGAGGAAGAATGCAAGAGGCATTGTTGGGAAGGTGAGCGAGAAGGATCTAGAGCAAATGAGGAAAATGAGTCTTCCAAAAGAATAAGAAACTAATCACAGCAATGAGCACAGGTCGAGAGGGAGAGAAGGCTAAAGAATTCCCGTCCAATTTTACCATCTTCTCTCTGAAATATCAGTCAAGTGCATATCCTGAGTCTGAGAGCAGTGGAGGAAGTTAGAGGGCTTGGGCAAAAGTACTGAAAGTCATTTTGGATATGTTAAAAAATAGAATGGACCTTGCAAGCGGAAGGATCCGAGTTCGATCCCCCGTACCCAAAAAAAAAAAAAAAAAATAGAATGGATTCACAAGGAGTGCTGAGCTTCCTTTTGGAATCCATGGTTATAAAATTAAAATCTATGATCACTTCAGTGATTGTCACATTTAGCAGGTCGCTTTTGCTCCCTGAACTGAGGTTTCCTGTTGGATCAGAGGATGTTGTAACCAGAGGTGACTGGCACATACTGGGGTCTCACCACACAGAAGCCACTGTGGCCAGCACAGGTTACTTCTCTGGTTCACAGCTCTGTCCCCTACTTAGACCTGTAATTTTGCAACTTGGTCACGTTGGCCTAGCTCTGTCAGTGTCCTTCCTTGTTGTATTGACATTTTAAAATCAACGAGTTAGCGATTATTGAGTACATTTTCTTCTAAGGGACTTGTGGGATGTTTATAGGGTAGGAAAAGAGTCTGAGTCTGTTGAGGAATGTGGGATTGGAGAGGTTGAAGAGCACAATTCTGGAGGAATCAGTCCAACTGAGGTCAAATTTAGACTATGATGTTTTCTAACAGGTTGATTTAAATAATTAATGCAACCATTGAAAGTCGTCACTTCCTCATCTATGCAATGGGTATATTAATTATAAGTAAATTATTCAATATTAACAGTATTTCTGGTGTATTCAGTGCTGTGCACATATCAACACATGCAATTTGCAAGAATCACTGAGATAGATGAGCTGTGAAGGGTAAATAAAGGAAGTTGTTTGAGCATGGCCACTGTTCACACATAGCAGATATTACTGTTCTTAACTGACCTTGAACTTCCACAGCTCACAGCCCAGCATGAGCCTCTGGACACAGCACAGATCCTGGCGAGGCCAGTGATTTCCTTTTTGTTAAAGACTCACACCTCACATGTCTGTTCTCCTATCATCACCTCCTACATATCAGTCTTTACTACAACACCACTCCCATCTGCAGAAGAGGACACCAAAGCTCAGAGATGAGCTTGTCCAAGAACTCACATTGGGGAGGGGTCAGAGATGAGAATAGAACACAGATTTATCCCACTTCAGATGTAATGTTACAAACAACAGTGCCTTTTAACAGGGGTGATATTGTCTCACAAGGGACACTTTTCGGTTGTCATTACTGGTTGAAGGCCATAGATGCTACTACACATCCTAGGATACACAGCAGAGTCCCCATATCAAAGAAGTTGCCAGGCTCCAAGATTAGCCATGCCAAGTTTGAGAAACCCTGCACTACACTACACAATGACCCAGGGAAGACCCAAGTGAAAATGAAGGGAAAGTCAAGAAAAGAAGGGGGTAAGAAGGGAAGGAAGAGGAAAGTTGTCATACTGGAATACAATCTTTCCTGGCCAATTCTGGGGAAACCCTTTTCGAAGGAACACTTCAGAGAAAACAACAAATAGCTCTGAAATAGATTAATCTGCCTTTCAAATCTTGCTGCCTCCACTGACTGGCTGGACATGATGTTGAAAAAGCAAACAAAACGCTTGGGTTATAGTTTCTGCCTGGTAAAAGAGAGATGGTGATGGCTTCTCCACAACATTATTATGGTGATTAAATGTGAAGAGTCTACAGTAATTGCCATTTACAGGCCAAGCTGGACTGCAATCCTTCTGCTAATATGTACTATTTAAGTGACCTTCACAAGGTTTCACAATTATTCTGAAAATCAATTTATTCTTATGGAAATCAGAAATGGTGAACACTATGGACCAATTATATAGATGAAACTAGAGCTCCCTTGACAGCAATCATCAGAGTGCTGGTCTCTAATGAGAACCCCACAGATATTAAACTTACTACTCTGCTACTTGTTATCACAATGGATACAAAGCCATACAGATTCTTTGCATCTCTAACAGGATATCAGCTAGGGAAATAAAATGCATTGTTTTGAACATAACAACGGGGAATCTTTTGCCAGTTTCTCTTGCACTAAATCCGGAGGTTGCAACATGTTGCAACCTGAGTAACCGTTTCAGATACTCTTAACTGTCAACTTTAGGCAAATCCTTAAACTAAAATCTTGCCCACATAATAGTTCCACAATTCTCACAGTGGTCAGGGATGGGAGGCAGGTGATTACATGAACCTGGGGCTGAAAGTACACGCAGACCTTGAAGGAAATTTTGCATGGAGTCATGGGTGGAATTAGATTTGAACTTGCTGAGTCTGAGTCTCAGGCTGTCCTTACTATGTGAACCTTTCCCATGAGAACAGCTAAGAGACTTTCAGTTTTACCGTATTACTGGGCACAAGATTTGATAAAATGGGTCCCCTGCTTGGAGTGGGAGCTACAGTAGAAGGTGATATAGGGCCTTCATAGGGATGCTCTAAGATAAATCTACACCTGACAAATAACCTTTGCTGCAATGTTTCAGGTGTGAGCAGGATGGCATCGAACTTCTCCATCCCTTTCAATGGATCTGAAGAAATGCCTTATGAATCAACTGGCTATGCTGTTCTGCAGATACTCCCATTGGTGGTACTCTCGGTCACCTTTGTCCTGGGTGTGCTGGGCAATGGCTTGGTGATCTGGGTGGCTGGATTCCGGATGGCGCACACAGTCACCACCATCTGTTACCTGAACCTGGCCTTAGCTGACTTCTCCTTCACTGCCACCCTACCTTTCCTCATTGTCTCCATGGCCATGGGAGAAAAATGGCCTTTTGGCTGGTTCCTCTGCAAGTTGATTCACATAGTTGTGGACATAAACCTGTTTGGAAGTGTCTTCCTGATTGCTCTGATCGCTCTGGATCGCTGTATTTGTGTGTTGCATCCAGTGTGGGCTCAGAACCACCGCACTGTGAGTCTGGCCAAGAAGGTCATCATCGGACCCTGGATTCTTGCCCTAGTCCTTACCTTGCCAGTTTTCATCTTCTTGACCACAGGAAGTGACGTGAACGGGAACACATACTGTGGCTTCTCTTTTGTATCCTGGGGAGACACTGTTGAAAAGAGGCTGAAGGTGGCCATCGCCATGTTGACAGCTAGAGGGATCATCCGGTTCATTATTGGCTTCAGCATGCCCATGTCCATGGTCGCCATCTGCTATGGGCTCATCGCTGCCAAGATTCGCAGAAAAGGCATGATGAATTCCAGCCGTCCCTTTCGGGTCCTCACTGCTGTTGTGGCTTCCTTCTTCATCTGTTGGTGCCCCTTTCAATTGATTGCCCTTCTAAGAACAGTGTGGCTCAAAGAGATGTTGTTAAAGGGCAAGCACAAAGTCTTGGCCATCCTGCTCAACCCAGCAAGGTCCCTGGCCTTCTTCAACAGCTGTCTCAACCCAATGCTCTATGTCTTTGTGGGGCAGGACTTCCGAGAGAGACTGATCCACTCCCTGCCCGCCAGTCTGGAGAGGGCCCTGAGTGAGGACTCAGCCCCGACCAGTGACACAGCCACCAATTCTGCTGCACCTCCTGCAGAGGAGGAGCTAAAAGCAATGTGAGGAGCTCAGGTTCATTTCTAGTCCTGTGCTTATCTCACTTCCAGCTTTATCTCCCCTTGAGACTCACCCTTGAGCATTTGCTCTGGAAAAATACTTCATTGTCCCCTGATTTGTAGGAAAGAAATAGAAAACAAGATGCTATTGGTGTTATTTCTTTTTCTGTTTGTTAACCTCAGACTGAGTCAAGTGCTGGTAGGGTAGGAGTATAAGAGAAAAATGAATGGTGTGTCACTCAATTATCTTAGAATGACCGTGATTATGTTTATGTAAAAATGACAGTTATTTTAATTTTCTTATTTTTTTTGTTTTACATCAAACTTATAGTAGTCTCCTAAAAATATTTGACAACTCTGATTCCATGCCCTTTCTTAAATGTTTAGAAAAATTCACCAGTGTAACCAACAGATTCCCAGTTTTGTTTTGTTTTTTTGGAGAAGGCTTTTAATAACAGGTTCAATGTCTTTAATAGTTACTTTTCTGGGTTTTTTCCTGTCAGTTTTGGTAAATTGTAATTATTATGAAGTTTAATCACTTTATTTAAAATCATGAGCAACTCTCTAAGATTTTGAACTCTCTAAGATTTTGTTTGGTATCATTGACTGGTGGATCCTCATTCTCCGTGTGTGAAATAGTGACTCTGCTATATACTGAGTGAAGTTATCAATAAATATTTACTGAATTAAGGAATCAATAAATAATTTTATCATTGATCAAGTGAGTCTTTAATTTGTAATTAAATTGATCATGATCAAGGCCATGCTTACTGTGCATACAGTATTTATAAATTCCCCTGTGGCTTAACTTTTCATGAATATCTCTGGTTTTGAGTTTCTGCTTTAAGTAAAAGACTCTGAATCATGCTTGTCTGATGGCTGTTTTTGGATAAATCTAACCATCTCAAAATTCTACCCTTTTCCTTACTTTCTGCAAATAACTAATCATAAGTGGATCTTCATTGTGCAACAGAATTAGAAAAAAGAAATGACTCTATATGAATGATAGCCCTGTCATGAAGTTCAATAGCATACATGCTCACAAATATTTATTGAAGAATGTTTATAATACACCTGAAGTTTCAACTCTCCAAAAAATTCACCAATCATAGGGTAATATATTCCTACAGCCAATCACTGTTCATCAATAAATATTTAAAGAATTATACCTAATATGTGAACACGAGGTTTTAAGTTGAGGAGACAGAAGACAATAGTTTAAATAGTATGATTCTATACATATATAAAATTTTAAATATTCACAATTAAACTATGCATTCATGGACACATAAGTAGGTAGTAAAACCATAAATGAAAGGCATACATTAATTACTGTAATAGTCAAGATAGTGATTATAGTAAGGAGAAAGAGGGAACAAATATGAAGTATGTTATGAAGCATGTTACAGCCAGTGGCTCCGGAATGCTGGTGGTGATTTTCTCTTCACTTGGGAAATATTTCTCCTACAAAATGTATTAACCTTCATGTTTGTCTTTTATTCATTTACATTTGTGTAGGTCTCTAATGTTTTACTTTTTAAAAGTTAAAAGGAATAGGCAAACCAAACTCAAGTCTCTTTTCCTTTACACCAAGAAAGCTGTATACCCTCCGCGTTTTGGCTAGTTGAACTAGGGCTCTCCATTCATAAAGGTGCTGAAATTCCCTAAATTTGGATCTAGTAAGGGAACTGAGGGGTCAAAGGCAGCAGCAGTGAACAGTCCAGGCCTGGTCGCCCTGGGTCATTCTGTTTTTCTCAAATGCCAATTAAAACTAACTCATTGGAAGTAGAGCTCCATCTTGTGGTTGCTCAAACACAAGGCAAGCGAGTAGAAGTCTTGTCTCATCTTCAGTTCTCACATCATTGGAGACAACACTAGGACTAGATTATTTTCCTGTGAGCTTCCCCAGAGAAAAATTTTAAGTACATGTGAAAAAAGAATTTGTCTTTCTTAATCCCGAATGTACATTCCAGAGACTAGGGTCTGCAGCTCTTTCCCGTATCTTCTCCCGCCCCGCTTCTAGATGAAAGAAAATCTATGTAAATGAATCATGAACCTACTGAGCGTTTTTCAATCACAGCACTCTGGGATGCTGAGGTGGGAGAAATGCAAATTGGAGCCCTGTTTTGTGGTTTGAAACTAAAATGTCCCCTAAATCTCTCGTGTGCCTAGAAGGGGGAGGTCGGAGGAGTTCTGATCAGGGAGGTGCCGCACTCGTGGGTGCATTTGTCCACCAGTGAGTTCAGTGACTGAGTGTGTTGTTGGAAGGTGCTTCTGGGCAGAAGAAGCAGGTCACCGGGCTCACGACATGGAAGGGTGTATCTCCCCACCCAGTCTTTCCCTGCTTTTCCGCTTCCTGGTGGCCATGATGTGAGCAGATTTCTCTTCACCAGATCTTTCCACCATGCCTTTTCTGTTATGGACTTGGCTGACCATGGGGTGGAATGGGATCCAAAATAAATCTCTCCTTAAGTTTTGGGTGACAGTTATTTTGTCCCCATGACAAGAAAGTGACTAACAGATATTGGTACTGAGAAGAGGGTTCAAACCCACACAGGCACTAGCTGTATTAGCTGGGTTCTCTAGAGGAACAGATTCAATATAAAATATGTGCATGATAATACAAGGGATTTATTAGGCAGGCTTATAGGATAAGAAGGGAAGTCCCAGTGACTATCTGCCAAACTGAGAACAAAAGAATCCAAAATAGTCATTTGCACACTCAAGACCTAGAGGATCTATTAGCAGTCAAAAGTCAAAGACCTGTCTGTTTGTGTTGGAAGGCCAAAGAGTCTGTGTTGGGAGGCTCAAGGAACTGGAGACTAACATTCAAAGACAATGGGGAAGACCAGAGCTCCTCTGAAAAAATCAAAACACTTATTTCTTCTTTGCATTTTTATTCTGTCCAAGCTGTAAGCCTATTGTTTGGTGCCCCTCGTACTTGAGGTGGGTCTTCCCTCAGTTTGCTGGACCACATGTCATTCCTGCACACGCACACACACACACACACACACACACACATGCGCACGCGCACACACACCAAGAATTTACTAATCTGCCAGGTGGTTCTGACTCAAGTGAAATCAACATATCACAGTTAACCACCACAATCCACCCCTTGTCAACTTGACATCCAATTATATCTCTTAAACTAATTAATCTCCAAATAGGTAGAAAGTTCATAATTATTCCTAGCATGATACAGTTATCCTGAGCATAAACAGAAATGTAGTAATTCTGTCCCCATAACAGAAGGCAAAGTTTTTCTTGGGGTTTTGCTTACTCTGCTCCAAACATTCCACAACTTAAACAGTATAATGTAAATTTAATAATACTTAAGAACCAATATTAGGTCAATCAACATTATTTTCCAAGGAAAGAAAGCAGACACCTACTTAAGATATGTGTATATGTTTAGAAGTATAATAACAAAGTAGGAAAGACTCATGACAATTACAATCTTTGTTTCATGGTCATGCAGTCATAGCTGGTAATTATAACTACCATCTTCTACTGCACATTCTGTTTTTCCTTGGCCTTGGCATCCCAGGTTCTTTACTTGGTAGGGTGATCCACACCTTCATTCTTTAGGGTGATTGGCCATTTGTCATCCTGTCTGGATTGGGTTGCTGTAGTTTCCCACCAACCTTAATAACAGGGAATTGCGATACCAGGAGACACCCTGAGGGATTCCTGTACTGCAAATATATTATTCTGTTCTCCATTGTACATTAATAGTCCAATTGTCCCTTGGTAGTCTGGATCAATCATCCCTGCCAACACAGTAATCCTCCTTTTAGCTCATTTACTCAGAGGAACAAGGAGCCCAAAATGACCAGGGGGAAATCTAAAATTCAGTTTTAATGGAATCATTGTGGTTTTTGGTAGAAGCCTCCCCCCCGCCCCACTCCCCCCCAGAACATACAGTTTGCACTAAGGCTCAATACCAGTACAGGGACTGTTTCTCAAAGAGAGAGTAATTATCTGTAGCTAGTAGCAGAGCTTTGATCCAAAATCCTAAGGGTCCCCCACTGTGATCCACTAAAGGGAACCCACCAGAGGCTCCAAACATCACCCCTATTTGCCACTGACAGCTCAAGTACTATTGGATATGCTGGGTCCTACAGCCCAAGTAGCAGAGCAGCCTGTACCTGTGGCAGAGCCTTCTTTTCTTTTGTTCCACTCAAATCTAGCAGCTTTTTGAGTTCCTTGGTAAATGAGCCCATAGTGATATACCCAAGTGAGGAATGTGTTGCCTTCAGAATAAAAATAGGCTCATTAGACACTGTGCCTCTCTTTTGGTTGTCTTTATGATGTCTTTAATCTTTTGGGAAGATACTTATAAGAGGAATACCTGGGGCCAAATGGAACTTCTATTTTTAGTTTCTTAGGGAATCCCCATATTGATTTTCATAGTGGTTGTACTAGTTTACATTAACCATAGCAATGTACAAGAGTTCCTTTTTCACCACAACCTTACCACTATTTGTTTTTTGAGTTTGTGATGATAGCCATTCTTTCTGGAGTAAGAGGGAATCTTGGTGTTGTTTTCATTTGCATTTCTCTAATGGCAAAAGATGCTGAGCATTTTTTCATGTACTCATTGACTTTTCTACTTTTTCTTCTGATAAGTGTTTATTTCAATTGCCCATTTTTTATTGCATCTTTCATTTTGGGGCAGCTTGACTTTTTTTCTTTTTTTTTGGTATCAGGGATCGAACTCGGGTCCTTGAGCTTGCGAGGCAGGCGGCAGAACCACTGAGCTAAATCCCCAGCCCTTGACTTTTAAAATATATTCTAGATGTACTCCTTGGTTCAGTGAGTCACTGGCAAAAATACTTTCACATTTTATAAGTTGGCTTTTCATTCTGTTGGTTGTTTCCTTTGCTCTAGAGAAGCTTTTTAATAGATACAATACCATTTGTTGATTCTTATACAATTGTGGTTCTGTTGCAAAAGTCCTTATCTATCCCTGAGTCTTCAGGAGTTTTACCTAATCTATCTTCCAGCAGGTTCAGTATTTCAGTATTTAATATCTAGAGCTCTGATCCCTTTTGATTTTAATTAGAACATGGTGAGAAATATGGCTATAGCTTCATTTTGTGTGTGAATAATCCATTTTTCCAGCACTATTTGTTAAAGAGGCTGTCTTTTCTCCAGCATATGTTATTGGCTTCCTTGCCAAAAATCAGATAGCTGAAGGTGCTTGGGTTTGTTTCTGCATTTTCTATTTTGTTCTATTTATCTGGATGTCTGTTTTTGTGCCAGTATCATGCTGTTTTTATACTGTAGCTTTATAATATACCCTTCAATCTGCAATTGTAGGGCTTTCTCCTTTGCTGTTGTTGCCCAGGATTGCTTTTGCTATTCTGGATCTCTTCTGGTTCCATATAAATTTTAGGGTGCCTTTTCTAGTTCTATGAAGAATGGTGTTGGTATTTTACTTGGTTTGCATTCAATCTCTATATTGGTTTTGGAAGTATGGCCATTTTGATAATATTGCTTTTGCTTATCCATAAACAGGAGGCATCTTTCCATTTTCTGATGTCCTCTTCAATTTATTTTTTCAGGATACAGCAATTTTCATTACAGAGGTTTTTCACTTCCTTGGTTAGATTGATTCTCATGTATTTAACTTTTTAGGCCATTCTGAATTCTTGATGGGTTCATTGTTGGTGTACAAAAATGCTATTGATTTTTGTGTATTTATTTTGTAT